CATAAATCTTCGTCTACTTAACAAGCGTCCGACGGGGGGAAATTTTCCGAATCGGGGTGAGAAATAGAAGAACACGAAATTTGACAGTTGCTGTCAAACATGGCCGCCTGCGAAATATATCAAGCACGGGAATAGAGTGATTCCCAACTTTTGTAGCAGCTGCATAGAATTCGAACCAGAAATGATTGCATAATGATCAAGTGATACTGCACCAACTCCCAAACCATGCAACAATACGGTCCTTTGGCATTAGAAGTACCCATATCAGTCTAAGTGACAAATATTACAAAGATGTCAGAAAAATAATCATTATGATGATAAGAGCCTTATATTCTACAAAATCTCTCTCTCTCTCTCTCTCACTCTCTCTCTCTCTCAAAGTGTGTGCGTGTATGTGTGTGATTGTATGTTTGTCTGTCTGTCTGTCTGTCTGTCTGTCTGTCAGTCTCTCTCATCACAAATCATAATAACTACATTTATATGGTTTGCTATTATAAGAATACAGTTACAAACATAAACTTATATATTCTTTTGTGATCCTGTAGTATCACTACCCGTTGGTCACGTTTGCTGATGTTAAAAAAATATAAAAAATGAAAAAAAAAACTTAAAATAAGTTTAGCCATTTTCACGAGTATTCAGTTCATTACTGACTAACGATTATTCTTTTTTTTTTTTTTGAGTATTTTTTGCTTATTGCAACATGTAACGAATCGTGTAGTTTACAGTACTAGTAGTCTGTAACAGAAAAACAAAATTCCCAGTTTCCCTCAAACCCGCATACAAACGTGTTTTACATGCACAGATATGAATGAATGTGAACTTCGAGATTGAAAAAAAAAAGCTCATTCAGTTATCGGCTGCCTCAATGAAAGNCCCCCCCCCCCTAAAAATCTTCTAATGGGAGGTTTTCTCTTCTACTATTCTCAACTTAGTTGTGGAATTTTGCACATAGCGTGTATTGCCTCATTTTCACTGTCTAAAATCTCTAACCAAACTTATCAGAAAAATTAAGACAGACTCTCTGTTTGAATCGCTGCCCCTAATATCCATTCACCAAGGAACCCGTGCGTGTAGGTGTACACTGTTTGACGGCTGCATTGCATCTATGACCCAATAAACAACGGGTTCCTCGGTTGTATTTGGAACGCTCTCTCCCTGTTTCAATCCTACTGAAACATTCATCAACATGTTAATTTCCCCCAGGACATGGCTTACAACCGTGACCTATTTTTACCCCTCGCCTCCATTGCGATTTGACGGTAATCATTTTCAGGGTCAGGATTTTATATCTATTGTATAATGATCGCAGCAAGAATAACCTATCGTTATCGCATTTCTGTTAGTTCTTCTAACCTTAATATCATTCTGTATAGTTATTCGTTTTTCATTAGCTTCATAGTCACGGCAAATCTACGATTTTAACTAACTACCCACAGTGTGCTGTTTCGAAATCATTTCGAATGCTAATGAGTTAAAATAACTTAATTGGAATCTAAATATGCAACTTTCTAATCGGTAATTCCGCTGGTAGCTGTACCCAGTGACATCCGAATCCACCATAAATCTTCGTCTACTTAACAAGCGTCCGACGGGGGGAAATTTTCCGAATCGGGGTGAGAAATAGAAGAACACGAAATTTGACAGTTTCTGTCAAACATGGCCGCCTGCGAAATACATCAAGCACGGGAATAGAGTGATTCCCAAGTTTTGTAGCAGCTGCATAGAATTCGAACCAGAAATGATTGCATAATGATCAAGTGATACTGCACCAACTCCCAAACCATGCAACAATGCGGTCCTTTGGCATTAGAAGTACCCATATCAGTCTAAGTGACAAATATTACAAAGATGTCAGAAAAATAATCATTATGATGATAAGAGCCTTATATTCTACAAAATCTCTCTCTCTCTCTCTCACTCTCTCTCTCTCTCAAAGTGTGTGCGTGTATGTGTGTGATTGTATGTTTGTCTGTCTGTCTGTCTGTCTGTCAGTCTCTCTCATCACAAATCATAATAACTACATTTATATGGTTTGCTATTATAAGAATACAGTTACAAACATAAACTTATATATTCTTTTGTGATCCTGTAGTATCACTACCCGTTGGTCACGTTTGCTGATGTTAAAAAAATATAAAAAATGAAAAAAAAAACTTAAAATAAGTTTAGCCATTTTCACGAGTATTCTGTTCATTACTGACTAACGATTATTCTTTTTTTTTTTAGTATTTTTTGCTTATTGCAACATGTAACGAATCGTGTAGTTTACAGTACTAGTAGTCTGTAACAGAAAAACAAAATTCCCAGTTTCCCTCAAACCCGCATACAAACGTGTTTTACATGCACAGATATGAATGAATGTGAACTTCGAGATTGAAAAAAAAAAGCTCATTCAGTTATCGGCTGCCTCAATGAAAGAACTGAAAAACAAAGGCCCGGTAGTACGCGTGAATAATAGAATAAAACAACCGACTGAAACGCAGTTAATGTTGTACGTTGGATAAGGGCAAACCAGCAGCTTTCTAAAATAGGGGATATTTTGCGTTGCAGATCCGTGAGATTTTACTCGAGCCTCATTAGATCAATTCTGAAACATTAAGCCCCCTTTACACTGGACGGCGTCCTTTCTGCGTCCAGCAGTCCGGCCCCATTTGAGAGTTTAAAAATTATAATATTTTACGTGCCGACAACTGGCCGATCATTGAGCATTCATTCTGATACAAAATTAATGCTCGTGCCTCCTTATTAAGACCACAGCGATGCCAAATTTCATGGTCGCAGAGAGGACGCAGAAAGGACGCCGTCCAGTGTAAAGGGGGTATAAGCTACTCGATATTAAGACTAAAATGTATTTTAAAATCAATTAGCTAACCTAAGCTGAAATATTTAAACCACCTTGTCTTATGAAATATTTGTCATAACGGAAATATAGATGCATGTACACGTTTAATTAAAATAAAAAGGGCAGAGGAAATTCTGTTTGTACCTTCATCAAAGTATTATTAAGGTCACCTCCATAATAAAAAGGTTACAAAGAATATCTTACTACGACCATAGAATCCATGGCAAAATCTATTTAGAAACATTTCATACAGTAGAGTCAATTATGATACATAGTATAAAATATACCGCAATTCAGCAAAATAAAATACATAAATGATATAGCTACCGAAAGACAGTATAAACAATGCCATTCGGGTGGTAAGAAAATGTACTGAAAATAACATTTAATAAAATAAATAATAAAATAAACATATGTTAAACAGTAAATGTGTCACTGAGGGTTCAGGTCGCAGAAAATACACTAACAATAACTCCTAAAACAACAAAGATACTTATCAACTTTGTAAGTATTTGCGTTTTTCTAATCGTATATGGACGGTCTTTTGAACTGCATGTCAAGCAAAGATGCATGTTCCAGATCTGCTCTAAATATTGAAGTCTTACTATAAAATAATGAAATGATAAAACCCCTTCCTGATATATGTACCCTAATAATATTTATTGGTATTCCTCTAAATAAATCACCAAAAAAGTAACAATAAATAATAATAATAATAATAATAATAATAATAATAATAATAATAACAGAAAATAAACAAAAGAAAAAATAAATAGCTAGGTTTCGCTGGATTTTTAGATCCAAGCAAATGATTCACTGCCGGCAGTTCATCATAATCTAATAAAATATGCATAATTGCTATACACAGCCCTTAAAAGGTGCCAATTATGTGGGGGATGTTACAACTAAGAGACAGATAACCCCATTCTACCATTCCTATTAAGAAGATCCATTAATCATGGTTAAAAATGTTGATGGGTCGTGGAAGGAAGGGCAATTGTTATATTCCCGCCTATTTTAAATATGTTGGATTGTATCACATAGTATGGTTAATTTATAATACATTATATATTAGAATAATGAACATCGCGCCACAGGAGAGGAAGAAAAATGTGTTTTGAATGGAAGTTTATGAAATAATAATTCTATATGAATTAGCCCGATTCTTTTTATGCTAGGACCTGAGATAATAGCTCATACAAATTTAAGTAAGTACATGTATCAGTTAACAAGTTGTTGCAATCAGAACAATTTATGAAATGCTGGCTCCTTTATAATGTACGCTAAGATCAAACGATCTGTGAAACAAAATATCAATAAAGAATTAACGCTCTAAAACAAACACCGAAAGAAGAAAAAGGAAAAATAAAATATAAATCATATGAACGTCTGTGGTTGAGCTGGAATACCAGGGACAATAGGAAATATTCAGGCAACTTTAAATGTTATATAAGGGTGTGTTATTAGGAAAATGGCAGAAGCTTTGCTTACCCTGTTATTAAAACAAAAAACTGCCCAATGAATCGCATGAGCAAAGAGAGTACGATTGCCTCTATCTAAAACAAAGCTAATTTTAAAAGTATCATAAATTTTGAGTTTAGGACCTTTCCTTTTTGATTGACATTATAGAGTTTAGTGGGGTTGGATGTATTCGGTGCAAAATATTGATATGAACAAAGTAAGCGCATTACATTACTTATGACTGGTCTAGCATAATCTAAGTCTCCCAACTGGACAACAGTGTCCATTAAAAAACATAAAGTATGGCACCAATATAGTTATTGACGATTTCTTATGAAAATCAGTTCTGTTTAATGTTTATTTCAAGAAAAGAACATCGAACAACTAATGACAAGCACGTCCATTTATATCTATTTATCGAGAGCATTTAAATACCGATTTCAGTTTCTGTTGAAAAAAAAAAAGGGAATTGGCTTCTCGGTGCATAGCGTTCATCAATATAAAACGACGCTGAACAACAAGGCATGATGGATCGCTCCATTCAACATTAAAATTCTAACCCACTAGTAGCTTCAGGGTGTCAATAAAATATTATGATGAAGCCACAAAAAGGTTATTAGTTATCCGGTCTGCACATGGTGTAAATACTGCAGTAACGCTGACATTGCTCATGCCCGTACGGTATTGTACTTACCGAGAGTCCCCGCCAAGGTTTGAGGATGGTGCGTCCCCCCTCCTCGTCGTATTTGCTTCTTTTCCCTCATCCAAGGGTAGTCAGGCATCCTCCCAGAGCCATTTCCTCCGGGTCCGTCTGCACCGGGGCTCTTAACCGGCCCTCCGAGTTCAGCAGTGGTAGGATCACACGGTGTGTGGAGACCGTTCATAGTTTGGCAGTACCCGGGCATCGTTGGCCCGTTCCCGGTGATTGATGAGTTTTGAAAAGAGTCCGTATCACCCAGGTGGGGTATCCCGCTCATGAACTCAGCTATTGATGGGCGACTGTTAATAAAGCCAGTTTCCCTCGAAGTGTCCATGACGGTCGCGGAGTTGTCCCTGAAAAAGCATTAAAGACGGACGGAGATCAGCTGTGAGGCTTAGCTAGAGCCGCCGCAGTGGAACACTGGGGGGAGAGGGTGCTTCCCAGCCCCTACATTAAACCATGCTTTTAACTACTAGGTAGGGCTACCCGTTAGCTGTGGGGTTACATACAGTGGGAGCGAGTTTGAAGAGGGAGAACACACGGTCGCATCGCGGTAATGCAGTAATGCAGCCTCCAGAGCCACGTGACCCGCTCAACCAATCACACAAGGCGCTCGAAGCGGCCTGCATTTCTTTGCGAAGTCATGCAAATAAAGGAGTCAACATTTTAGAAGGTCTACTGCTTTTACTTGTCACACAACCTCCCGAAAAAAAAAAGATTTAAGTTCTGAAATAAAATGATAGCCCAGCGTTGTCAGGCTGTCACGAGTTGTAGAATACGTTGAAGTAGAGGCAATTAAATGCTCGTCGAGTGGCGCAAATGAGTTTCTGATGGTCCTGGTCTTTCAACTGTTATCAGACAAGTAGGCAATTAGGCTCAATGATTTCGTTATTTTTCATTTCTTGTCAGTCCCCTTAATGACACCTCACATCTCTCACTCTATGAAAACTAGCCGTCTCTGTTCCACTCTTCATTAAACACTAAACACATTGCCAGACCGCGGTGCTACCGTCTCATTCCATGCAAGCTTCTCCTTGAAGCTTACTGGGTTAGTGTTTCTCAGTGCGTTCTTTGCGACTTACACCTCGGGATTTTAAGGCCTTTCAAGATTAACCCGATGCGAAGAAGGAGAATGAGAATGCTAGATCTGCTGCCATACCCTCGGGCTGTGTCTCTGAAAAGGACCGGATTTAATACCTACACTGGGTCTGAGGATCTATCCCCCCGGCGTTTGTGTTAAAGGTGCGCTGTTGTTTATAAAATAATACCAGTTTTCATTTGATGATCAAGGCCATTTTCGTTTTCGCCTCCGTCGGGCAAGTACGGTGGGGTGCATGGATAAAATACCCCTTCTACAGATATTAACGTTCTATCAGGGCTGGACCCATCGTATTACGTGTAAATGCTAGTAATTTGGTTGTCTAGGCCTATATCACGAACGTGGATTAGCACAAACAACAACAACAACAACAACAACGGATATTGTGGTCTTCATTATGCCACAAAATCATCATTTTAATATGTTGAAATGATCACCGAATGATATATTCGATCAGATCAAGGACGCCCAAGGCGAGATCGAATGTATTCCTAAATTTGGATCTACTACTGCTACTCTTGGCTACACACATCTGTGAACAAGGCCGCGACACGACGGAGAGCTTCCACCAAGCACTTCAGATAAGTACCGACCCCGGCCAAGAGTAACTCACTGATGTGAACAGCAGATTTAATCAGTTTTTTCCATTCCTCCCTCAAGACTATTACACGACGACCTGGGGTATTTTTACTCAATTACACATCGCCTGGAAGGGGACGACAAAAGACGGCCTAGTCGAGGTAAATATCAATAAAACACCACTAACCACTGCCATCATTGAAAACAACAACAATTCCGCACATTTTAACACTGTTGTACCTGTACCTCTTATATACTTACATTTCCCCAAAACATATTTCAGTCCATCGTCTGTGTCAGATGGTACATGGGCGATTATCTGCTACGCTCTGTCTACACGCTAACGATTAGAATCATGGTCAACGGGCGTGGACTATTCGTGACGGGGCTGTTTAGCCCGGATTCGGTTGAAAAATCTACGGGAATAGGGGTGGGGAGGAGGGGGGGGGGCATTTTTGTCCACCTTACAAATGGTCATTCCCCGACTGAAACTACAAACCGCTGTTTGATAATTGATTTAGATCACTGCACGTATAAGTAATTTATTATTTTTTCTTGAAATTTTCTGCTATGGTTTTTATATAATCTTTAAGTTTTTGATCACACGAAACTAACTCTTCTCTTTAATGGAAGATGCGGTAACACGGGTCGCTGCGTTTGGAGAAAATTGAGGTAATAAACAGTTAGATACCGGCACGACCACGCCAACATTTGTTCCCTAACAATGTCGTAGATAACATCTATTCTTGCTGGATGCTCGCGGGAGTGGATCAGTCCCAGGTTAAAATTTGCACACGCCAGTAACCAGGTTTGTAAATCATACAGGGTCGACACCTCGTGAATAGATATAATTTTAAAATCTGTAAACCTGAGATGTTTTTTGGGCTAAAAATACTCGTGTAATCGAAAATCCAGAGTATTTTAACACTAAACATTTTTGAAATATATTTCGACAGAAGAAAAAAATAATAGACTATAACTGGTTCTTCCTGCATTATCCACCTATTATATGCTTGTCCAAATCTACTTTGATAATAACAAACAAGGATGAAAGTCGTCATTATTAGCCCTAAATCGCTGGATACTGCTATTTGCCTATCAATGCACCATACCTAATTTGGCATGAATTATTTTTTTTCGAAATCACGTTTTTATATCAAACCTAACAACAAAAATGTACACAGTTTTAGTTAGTCTGATTGATTAAGGTGGTCACATTTTCCATTACTTTCAGAAAAAAAATCAATATGTAATGTTTCCTTAAAATAATATCCCTTCTGTGAGTGTATTTTAGCATTTTTTTTCGTTTAAGTGCCTGTCGTCTGCTATATACGGAGTGCACGTGTTGTAAAATACTTCAACAGTTTAACGCCCCCTCTAACTACTCTGATGGAATTGCCAGATGCTCCCTGCCATTTCAATTTTTAAAA